TATCAACTGTCATCTTGCAGCGGGACAATCATCGGCGAACCAGCGGCATAACGACATCGCGGCAATTATGGAGAGCGCTCTTCTCCCCGTGGAGCGCGATCCAAGCGTCCGTATCGACAGTTACGTGGGTGGTGGCGACGGCACCATGGTCCTCGATCACGAACTATGCTTACTTAACGGCGATCTCAACTACCGCATTGATACAATGTCGCGGGATACAGTTGTGATTGCGGTAAAGCAAAATAATCTGGCCAAACTCCTGGAACGAGATCAACTCCTCGTAGCCCGTCGAAGGAACCCGGCTTTTAAGCTTAGGGCATTTGACGAGATGCCCATCGAATTCCCCCCCACGTACAAATACGACGTAGGAACCGATAATTACGACACCAGTGAGAAGAAGCGCTCCCCAGCATGGTGTGATCGTCTCCTTCACCGAGGTTTTGGTAGAATACAGCAATTTGAATACAGGCGGCACGAGGTCCGGGTATCAGATCACCGGCCCGTGAGCGGTCAGTTCAGGTTTACTGTTAAGTCTATCTCACCTAAGAAGCGGACGTTGGCTTGGGCGGACTGCCAACAACGCTTCGAGAACCTCAGGGAGAAGGAGGCGACTGCGGAGAAGTGAGTCTAAGCTTATCCTTTTTGCGTATTTGATACAATTTCTAACCTTAGACAGGCTTTACTATCTTACGAAGGTCATTGGGTACGATACAGATACGAGCATGAGATTGATACGCGAAAGGACTGCCAGGTAACAAGCCAGTCCGGATTTACATAAAGAAGAAATAATACGATAGCGAAGCAGTCAGGCCTAGCTGTACTTGGAAGCGTACACGTGGAAAGCGGAGGGCTCTGCTAACGCCCAAGAGAGAGAAAGGGATGATGAAGCAGGTTTTAATGAAATAGAGAGCCAGCGTAATGATTACCTGTTACAATATAGCACGACAAAAAGTTGGCAGATCCTCCATTAAAGGCGGGCTGTTATGAATTCCTGGTTAGATGGTTGGGCTTATGAGAGATGAATATTGTCGACGTTAAGAAGCGACGGCAAAAGAAACATTGTCATAGAGAATCGAGATAAATAATGAATCCTAAAAAGAGACCAAAGAGAGACCAACCATTCTAATCATGCTCGATCAATTACTTTTAAGGTACGCGTTCATTATTATTTTTGTAAGTGGCGTCTAGAATACTAGAAATAATACGTAACGGGGTTGTCCGTCATCGGTCCGCCTTTTGATTGGTCTATCTTGATCCCATTTCAGGGGTGCCGTATGTATTTGTTCACCGGTATCTCTGATAGTTATTATATCTTACTTCCCTCCTTTTCAATCCGAATCTAGATACCTTGATAAGCCAGCACACCATAAAGCCAACATAGAGGTGAAGAGAAGATACGCGCCCACCAGGTATCTATCTATCTAATCATGACCTTCACATATGCGTTAGGAGAGTTATTTGTATCTACTACCCACCCTTATTATATCTTCATAGGGTAATCAATACTACTCGTGTTTTTCCTCTTTCAAACTTTTAGTTCAAGTCTTATGTGGAGTCGGCCGGTTCTAGCGAACCTAGAAGCGTTTACCGATTATTTTTCTTTGACGTAAAAAGGTATTACGAATTTCAGGGACCGGGTTCCGATATAGCTCTTGGTGTACCGTCGGTAGTTGTCTGTTTTTTTTTTCTTATATCTCGAACTGATGGGCATTTGGGATTTACATATAAAAAAGACAGTGAGTGGTTAAGGGTGAATAACTACCTATAGTCTACTCAAAGCCGGTTATCAAATATTGCCACTGTGCGACTTGAAGGCGTGGTAACTGTTTGCGATAAGAACAACTCCGTGGCACAGTCTTGATTGATTGCTTACTGGCTGGTTAACTGGTCTGAAGGGCACGGTCTGACGGAGCATCAAGTTATAGCTCACCTTGCTCGGTGGTTTGATTAAAAATCTAGGACGTGCGACCTAGACAAGTCTCAGGCCGCCGCCGTCTCTAGGAAGACAAAAGTATAAATCCTCGGGAACAAAGGAAACATCGCCCCAGAGAATATAGGCTATATAAGACCAAAGCGCAAGGAACTATAAGATATCTCACTCTATCTTAACGATCCACTCACCTTTTAAAACTATGGGGGCCCTCACAGCTGCCGCAAACGGCAATGCCGAAGTTACTACATATCCCGAGTCGCGAGTGCTCATCATTATCACCGGAGGCACAATATGCATGCAGCCGTCGGCGCATGGTCTTGTGCCCGTTGATGGGTTCCTGGATAATGCTATGGCGCCGCGTCTGTCATTCAACGACATGTCGGAAAGAGGTACGTTATATTCCCAGTTGAAGCAAGCATATATCAGATATTGGGGCCAAGAAAGTCCACGAGAGGAGATATATCTCTACGTTTAAGTGTTCTATATGAGGTGAACTGGAATAATAAGAGGATCATCGCCTGGATACGAAGGTCGAGCGCGGTTATAAAACTTAAGCAAGCTCACTAAGAATACATTAAAGAGGTTTTCCCTTTTCGAGATTCACCTAACTATATAGTATTTAGGTAGTTTAGAGAGGGTTTCATGGCTATCGGATTTACGAAGCTTGTTACTTTCTATAATAGGCAAAAGATAAAAGCTAACTCAACATAGTTCCTCTCACCGCGGTCAAGGACGGGGTCAAGGTGACCATCGACAGCTTACGCACACCCCCAAGTTCATACTCGAGACACATCCGCTACGGCGCACTCGAATTCTCACCCCTACTGGATTCTTCTAGTATAAGCAGTTTCGGCTGGACCCAGATCGCTACGACTATCAAAGCTAATTATCACCTATTCGATGGCTTCGTCGTGCTCCACGGGACTGATTCGTTGGCTTATTCGGCTTCGGCTTTATCCTTCATGTTGGTACGTGGATATGACGTGACATTCATACTGAAATTTGGTTCCGAACTCATCGACGCAGCTCGAATGGGGTTTCTTGAAAGGAAGTGACCAGCTTTATAGTCATCACTAACGTTTATAAATAGGAAGACTTAGGAAAGCCGGTGATCCTAACAGGCTCGCAAGCTTCTATCTTTGCGCTCCAGTCAGACGCCGTCGATAATTTACTCGGTTCCCTCATCATAGCCGGCACCTTCGCCATCCCCGAGGTGTGCTTATTCTTCCATCACACGCTGTTCCGCGGAAATCGCACGACCAAGGTCTCGGCATCCTCGTTCGACGCTTTTGCTAGTCCGAACTGCGAGCCGCTGGCCAAGGTTACTAGCCTCGGCGTCGATGTGAACTGGTCGCTCGTAAGAAGGCCGACGAAGATCGCTCAGTTCCGCGTCACGTCGTACGTGGATACGGCGCACGTGGCTTGCGTTCGCATCTTCCCCGGTATCAAGCCGGAGATGGTGGATTCTGTGCTTCGGGTGCCGGAACTTCGCGGGTTGATCCTGGAGACGTTCGGCATGGGCAACGCGCCCGAGGGCGTCGACGGCAGTCTGACGAAAGTCATTGCCGCGGCTGTCCAGCGCGGCATCATCATCGTCAACGTCAGCCAGTGCACGAACGGCTTCGTGTCGCCGCTATACGCGCCTGGGTTCGCGCTCGGTCGTGCCGGCGTCGTGTTTGGCCACGACCTCACTTCGGAAGCCGCGCTCACCAAGCTCTCGTACCTCCTCGCGCTGCCGCCTAGGCCCGACGGCGAGGGCAGCCACGCGGCGGAGATCGCGGCGCGCATGAGCCGGTCGCTCCGCGGCGAACTGACGGAGCTCGCGGCGACGCCGTCCTTCACGCACCCGCCCGCGGGCCTGGACACCTCGTGGGCGGAGCGGCTGACGGGGGCCGAAGCGGCGTTCACGGCGCTCGGGTACGCGATCGCGTCGGGGAACCTCGCGGCTACGATCGAGATCCTAGAGGCGGCGGACCGGGACGAGGGGAGCAACGGCGGGGAGGGGCCGATGGTGCTGCTGCGGCACGCGGACTACATGGGCAACACGGCGGTGCACCTGGCGGCGCTGGGGCCGGAGCCGGAGGTGCTGAAGGAGCTGCTGGTGAGGGGGGCGAGCGTGCACGCGCGGAACCGGGCGAATAACACGCCGCTGTTCCTGGCGCAGAGGGCGGGGAACGAGGGGTGCGTGGAGTTGCTGAGGGAGGCGGGGGGTATGTTGTGGGTGGAGGAGAAGGGAGTCGAACAAGGAGGAGTAGTCGGGGTTGGGAAAGAAGGGGAGGCGGTGGTTTGAATTTAACTAGTGGATTGAGGCTTCGATATTAGATGAAGGGCTTGATGTATTGTCATTTTCATCCTCATGCTGAGGAAAAGGCCTTGGTTTGCTATTGCGTAGAGCAAGGGCGCCTGGATGGCCTAGCTGCTGCTCTGGGTGTAGTAGTTTCGTTGTGCTGCTGGTTTGAGTAAGGGGCATGTCACATAGAAATTTGGAACGATGGTAAAGGGGATATGGTATACGGTATATTACGCGTGATAGAAGGGATATATTGGGTTGGGTTATCGCATATACGAGTCTAGCGCTTGATGTAGAGAGTGTCCACGAGCGCTTAAGGAGAGAGCATATCTAGAATAGAGCCCCTAGGGATGGCTAGGTATTATATATACGTATCTCAAGATATGTTGGTTGGCATGGTGTACTGATGGGCGGCGTTTTGACTTGTCCTACTAAGTTACACTAGTTGATCTGAAGAGTGTCTTCCGCAAGGTGGTAGCGAGGTTATCTACGTCTCGAGGTTTATACGTAGGTAGTTATCTACAGAACACTGGATGTTTAAAATTCAATTTCCTCGATATATGACAGGGTATATTGTGCTTTATAGCGAGCGTCCGGCTCATAATAGTTACTGGTGATTTCTCGTCGGCCTTAACCAGCTAACTTGAGCTAAAGAGAGCAAAAGCACGGGAAGAGGGGGTTGATGTTCAACAGCTGAGGTAAATAAATAGATAAAAAAAAAAAAAATTAAAAAAATTAGGTTGCTAATCCCAGTTTTCTGGGAAGCATCAGGAATTGAGCCCGATGCGGGGGTCGAACCTATGAGGGAATGTTAGCTGGGTGTTCAATACAGTGTATCAAGATCGTATGATCAGTAACTTACCCGCAACCTTGAGATTAAGAGTCTCACGCTCTACCGATTGAGCTAACCGGGCTACCGGTTTGAAGTGACGACGAGTTGGGATTTGAATAATATAAAGGTGTGCGTGTAGGAAACGAGGGTTTCGATCCTTGAGCTGCCGGGCCGATGTCCTTTTTTAGAATGGTTTGTTGAAGTGGGGGTTTTTTTCAGGTGCTTTTCGGGTTTAAGAAAATAGTTGGATCTGTAGTAGTAAAAGACACACCTATCTCTCTATGCACGGTTTTCTTGTATGGCTGGGCTACCTTTTTATAAGTGAGGCAAATTGTGATAATATAAGCAACATGCCACTTTCATATATTAATGATTCTTTCATTCGAGACTGTAAAGGAGCTGCTCGCTTTAATTATTATCTTCCATTTATAATATCCCGTGTTATCTTTTCACGTCTATAGTGGTTTTAACTTGATATAAGACAGCCACAATTGCAGGGAAAAAAAAAAAAAAAAAAAAAAAAAGACTTCCTATAAATATGTACTTATCGTACATCATATGTGTATTAGTTGAGCAATGTACGAAACTATCACTTCTCATGAGATTTTATTGTTCGTGGGAGGCTGTACTTTAGGTTTTCTCCTGTCGTAACGCGTTCTAAGGTAGGGCCACCATAAATTAAAGGATCATATAAGGTGACAGCCCTGCTTCGTTGAGTTTACTTTTCCTGGAACTAGCCAGTCGACGTGAGCAAATCATAGAATTCTTTACCTCTGCAACTGAGGCAGATTACTATCATGAGAGCTTCCAGATATTGCACCGCCCGTAGAAGGTTATCAAGTAAGTATATAGCACCATTGTGCAAGCCCCTCCATCAACCAATGGGTCTTCAACCCTCACGAAGAATCCATAGGCCGCTTGGCCCAATGGTAAGGCGTCTGACTACGACCGAGCATGTAAAACATGATCGAAAGCAATCAGGAGATTCTGGGTTCGAGCCCCAGGGTGGTCACTATACTTTTTTGCTCCTCCACCACATAGGGGATCTTGTGGTGGGTAAAGGTAGGGTTCGCTTAAGGGTCGACGATATGGAGCTTGCCTCTATCTAGTGTAGGGTTCCAATGTTGGCTCTTATGTTGAGGCTATCAATTTTTGGGCCCACTTAGCGAGGCTAACGTAGAAGACAACGTAGAGGACAACATAGAGATCTATTCTGGAAAATAGAAATAATTTATGGGATCCTAACAGACGCTGCTGTTTCTTTTAGTGAGAAAGGGGGTAAAGAACGTGATCGAACATGTCTCGATAGTGTACCTAGGATTCGTTAGGAACGTGCTATGTAACGTGAGCGTATAATAGAGACCATATCCCTAGCTGACACTATTGAGCTATGATATGTACACATGCGCCCTAGGAATAACGCCTTTCCCAATTTTCTAAAAGAAGCTGTATTCATATATTATGATAATAGAATTCTGACCAATCATATAAGCGCATCTGATAACGATGATTCCTTTGTAAGTCGCGTGGTCTAATGGTTATGATTTCTCGTTCACATTGATGTGTTCAAAGTCCCGAGAAGGTTCCGTGTTCGATCCACGGCGTGACTAAGTTTTTGCTCCCGACTCCATTGAGATGGTCTAATTCCTTTTTGCCATAATAGTTTAAATAATTCATTCAGTGACTACCTACCTATACTATGCGAGGTAGGTGGTCATATAAGTTATGTCAGTATTGATAAAGACATCCACATTCTGAATGAATGGTTTTTCTACCTGTCAAGGTCAAGCCTAATAAATAACCCCTGTCATCATACCTAAGGTAAGGTATTATGGGACGCGTAGTTCTTTTAAGATGGCACGTATGAACGGATTTCGCAATGTTCATATAAGCTCCAAAAATCCGAAAGGATATAACGATAGTTCATATAGATCATAAATCATAAATCATAAATCATATAATAACTGAGAGAAACTTGCATCAAAATCTCGAGGTTCCTCTAGCAAGTGTATGGAGAGGAAAATCTTGGCGTTCAGATATTAGTTTCTGGTCCGACGCGTTTAAAGGCTGAAGACGAAGCGTGTCAACGACCTTTGCATCAAGTACAAGATTATGGCTGAAGTATCTAACACGTCACAACTCCCGAGGACAACCAACCCCAAAGTACGGTCCTCATGCGACTCGTGCGGATCGGCCAAGGTTAGATGCGACCGTAGTCGGCCCAAATGCCGCCGCTGCGTTGGTCTCGGTATCGATTGCGTGTATAGCGTCTCACGCAAGCTCGGCAGAATACCGAGAAGAGGCCTCTTTACAGGGATCAATTCTGAAGCTTCAGTTGAAACGTCTAGGCAAACACAGACGCTACGGCTCGATAGCAATTCAGAGAGCTCTGCAAATGTGGCCTTCGAGGAATCAAGGCGAGTACAAAGTAGCGAAGTACAACCATCGTTCTCACGTCCGGGATGTGAGACATCGCTATCTGGAAGCAACATTGACTCCTCATCATCAAATACCTACGGTCATGACCAGCTTGGATTAGGTCTGTTCGATCCTCTGTCTATGGATCAATGGCCCCAGTTTAACTTCTTAGATGTTGGCATTCGCACAACATCCTCTCCCAAAGATGCAACTGTCGAGGTTCAGACTCATGGGGTTCAAGATAGTCGTGGGCCTCATAGCTGTGCTCGAGAGTCCTACGAGATTTTTGCAGATCTGATCTGCCCCGCTCCCGATCTTCACGCTCCTAATACTAACTCAGATACTGTAACGGCCCGGCTGGACCAAGTTCTTCACTTCAATAGGAAGGCAATTGAACGACTCAGTGGCCTGTTAGAGTGTTCTTGTGCTAAGTCTGGGCATCGAGTTATGGTTCACGCATCAATCATCTCTCGGATCTTGATCTGGTATCAACAGGCCGCTGGGTGGCCATGTAACACCTCTCCAGAAACACCGCCAGCCGGTGCATTAAATACTACTGGGGATACCTCTCCGTCGGCTCCATCATCTTCGGAACAGGACGAAGCAGCAGGCACTCGTTCGTCTAACTTACGGATACTGCCTCGAACCACGGGCTTCGTCGTCACGGACGTGCCAGCTACTCTAGGAACATTCAGCATCGAGGATCAGAAAATGCAAGCAGTAATCAGGAATCATTTAGTTCTAAGTGAGCTAGTTAGGATGTCCGCCCTTATCGATCTTTTTAGTTCTCATTCCTCGGGCGAGTCATCGGTTGCAGGCCCCGGGAGTCTTTATACGTACATCGCAGCGTGGCTTCGGAACGAGTATAATAGTACTATCAGAGACCTAAAAGCTGAACGTATTACACTAGGTAACGCTTTAGATACCTAGTTTATCGAAGTAATATGTATTCTAATCATAATTTCATTCAGCTACGAAGTACACTCTCGTGTAACACTATGTTAAGAGCTATCTCCAACACATTTTTACTCTTTATAACATCCCGTATCTCGGATTCATGCACGGTCGGCCCTATACAGACAGCTATACTATCCCCCTCACACCCAATCTCAGTTGCTACCTCGAGGTGCAAGTCAAGGCCCCAGCCCAAAAAAAAAAAAAAAAAAAAAAAATTCGGGGTCTAAAGGTTGAATGCTATTGGCCAATTCGACCCCGTTAAGGAAATGCCCGAAAACAACCATAGGACACTTGAAACCCGCTGTGAATCTGCCCGCGAATCTCTTAGACCATGACCGTGTAATATAAATAAATATAACCATAATTCTGTCCTAGTACTTGGATTATATGTCTACCAGGAAACCTAGTCTATCCTTACTCCTATCAGACTTGTCGCTACAATGGTCAAAATTGTTGTTGCTGGAGGTTCGGGAGGTAAGACATTCTGATATGAGAAGCGATCATAGCCTATTAACCTCTCTTTAGAAGTCGCTCGGGAGGTCATCGACGCGTTAGTGGCCACCAAGAAACATGATATTACTATATTGAGTAGGAAAGTTCGTACCCCAACCACATTTTTCCGAACCAACTTTGTGGAATTCGAATCTAACCTCAAGTATAGGCGATAGGACTTCAAGATAGTAACCGGAACGGTGTTACATGGCGCCAAGTCAACTACGAGAATAAGGATGAATTGGTCGAGGTTTTGAGTGGCATCCATACCGTGCTGTCCTTTGTCCAGCTCCTTCAAGACCCAGGGAATAAGGCGCAGAAAAATCTGGTCGACGCCGCCGTCATAGCTGGCGTCAAGCGTTTTGCGCCGAGCGAGTGGGGAAGGTAAGTGGACGGGCCTTGTTTGCAATACTTCTGAGATCAAGTGAAGCCAGCTGACATACATCTACTATGTAGCTGTAGCGGCGAAGGAATGCCTTGGTGGACGGGAAAAGACGAAGTCAAGGAATATTTGAAAGAAGTGAACCAGAACGGAAAGGCAAGCCTTTAATCCCCCCCGATTGCGCTTGATGAGCCAACTCTTTGACACGCCAAGTCTAATGCTTCGTGGCGTAGGTCCTAGAGTACTGTTTATTTCAGCCTGGCTTGTTCTTGAATTATCTTGCTACCCCACACAAAACCTCGAAGCATCTGACACCACTGAACACCTTCATTGATCCCCATAACCGACGCGCTATTGTCATAGATGGGCATGATCCTATCGTTACCTTTACCACGGTCCAGGACCTAGCAGCGGTTGTCGCTCGAGCCGTTGATTTTGAAGGAGAGTGGCCGGTAGTGGGAGGGATCAGGGGTAATAGTCTTCCAGTCTCCCAGATCATCGAGATTGCTGAACAAGTCCGAGGTAAGATATATTGCCTGCGACCTAATTATATCTATTGATATATAAATACTGATTTAGCATTATAGGGGGCCCTTTTACGGTTGATACAGTTTCGTTGGAAGACCTCGAGACTGGGAATTTGTCAGCTTCTTGGAAATTGGAGGCTCGCCACCCTAGCGTCTCAGACGAAGAGGCAGCGAGTATGCTAAAGGACGTACTCGTAGGTATGCTTTTGAGCAGTGCTAAGGGTGCTTGGAACACATCGGACGAGTGGAATCAGCTGTTACCGGACTATAAATTCACTGATATGCGACAGTTCTTGGGTGAAGTAT